TCTCCTTCATCTTCAACTTATGGTGCCATCGTCTCTGAGGTTGTCCATAGTGGATGTTTGAATAAGCTATTTTCTGTCCATCTTTTCCCTTTTTAACTTTCTTTTATATCTTTTTTTGCTATATATTGTGGGAGAATTTGTGAAATAAGTTTATAACCCATCATCTCAAAGACCAAAACCGATATAAGATCGAAAATCGAACTAAAATATTTCGATTAATTCAATTCGGTTAATTTCTATTGATAAGTTTCGGTTTGGTTTTAAAAATTCATTTTATTTGGTTTTCAGTTTTCAATGAAAACCGAATGCTCCTCCTTACAATCAAATCTAAATTTATAATATTTTTGTCGTTTCGCCAATATCTGTTGATATTTTAAGGTTAACATACAACATAGAGTCTTTAATACAATATACTGTCTCCCCTTCTTATAACTATAAGATTTAATTAATTAATTTATAAGTTGGCATAAAAAATAACTAATTTATCATGATTAAAAAAAATTGATTCAATTGATTTTTTAAAATTATTATTGTATAAAAAATGTGTCACTTTTCATAAAATCCTGAGTACTACCTCGAATGCTGACTATAAAAATTAGAAAATAGTTTTGTTTTGATAAAAAAATATAAAATTTCAAGTGACTTTATTTTTTAAATGGATAATTTTTTTTTGAAAAAACTTCCCTATTACTTGCTTATAGTAAAAGGGTTTTCATAGGGATAATTAATGGTTAGAAAAGATATCCTTGAAAAATCAATATATATTTATTATAGATAACTAATTTATTCAATATTCACATATTAGTTATATAACTCTGATAGGTTGATGCTAAAGATCAGGTGGAGTATTAAGTAGAGGAGATAGAGCTGATTAAAAAAATAGAGGGGATAAAGAGCAAAAAGAAACAAGTGAAATTAATTAAGATAATGTGAGAAAAAGTATTAGATAAGGAAGATGATGCTGGAAAAAAATAATAATAATATTAGTTGCCAAAAAAAGGATTATTTGAAACTAAATGATTTTAAAGTTACAGAACTAAAAGTATACTTTATAAAAGAAAAATATATTTCTAGGTCCTTCTAGTTTGATCAGATTTTGAATTAGGTTCAATTCTTATAATTTTATTTCTTTTTATTGAATCCTTGTAGTTGATTTTATTAAATTTACAAGTCCTTCTGTCCTTAATGTTGCAAACGCCATTAACTCGTAATGGTAGATGATGATCTTGCAGCGTGCTCCCCCCACCCCAAGTTTGTGTCTCTCTCTCTATCACTTGTCTCTCTCATCTGTTGAACCTAAGCATGATGAGCTCCATGACACCCAAAAGGAGTGAAGCAGGACTGCCTCTTCGATTGATCATACTCCTCATCAACATGGGCATGCTGCTTCTATGCAGTTATAAATATATTCAATTAATTAAATATATTTTCCTTTTTATAAAATAAGGGATCAAATTAAAATTTAATACACCTCGAGTCTTTAATGTAAGATATATTTAATTAATTTGTTTATATTAAAGAAGTTAGTTAAGTATCAGAAATATGACATGTTTTTTTTAAATACCAAAATCATCTTTTTTAATATCCTCTTTCCTTCCCCTACTTAATCATGTATCACTAGGGATAATTTAAGAAAAAATAATAAATATGAGAAATAAGTCTTATATCTAAGATTAAAATCATTAGATCTTGTATTAAAGACTAGATGGGTATCAAATTTTTTAACAAAAAGTGCATTTTTGCTAAAACAATGCTCCCTCTTGAAGCTATTAATAAAATTAGTTGATAGAAAATATGTATCAATTTTTTTTTGCAAACTATCCTATTTAATCATTTAGAAAAAAAACTAGCGCATTTATGAAAACTCCACCTAGAATGTGGAATTAATAAAGATAATTTGGAGGAGAATATAAATTTGATGAGTGGAAAGAAACTTATACATATTTTTAAGATTAAAATAAAGTCTTCAATTAACTCTTATATAAGAGAAAGAAGGTACTACCTCCTGTTCTAAATATAAGACCTAGTTAAGTAATTTGAATGAATTAAGAAAATAAGTTAAATTAGTCATTTGGAATAAATAGGGGTTATCTTTCCTAAAATATCCTTATTAATCAAGTTTGTTGGCCTAAACCACCATTATTAGAAGGACTATTTTGAAAATAAATAAATAAATATGAGAGACAAAATGGATTGAAATCTTATATTTAGAACTAATATAAAAAATCAAACAAAGTCTTATATCAAGGATGGGAGATAGTATTAACTAATGTCACATATCAACCAATAATAGAAGTTGAATCCATGTTAATGGATTTCCAAGTAAATGCGTTTTTTGAACGAATTATAATGATTTCAAACGAAGTCTTATACTACCTCCAGTATTTAATATAAGATCTTATTTGACTTTTATTTTGGTCCTAAATATTAAATCCCAATCCACTTTATCTCTCATATTTACTCAATTTTTTCTGATAGTCCTTCTAATAATTATAGTTTTAGTTAATACACTTAATTAGTAAGGATGTTTTAGAAAAGACAACACCTATTTAAGACAAATAACTAACTCAATTTACTTTTTTAATTTTCTCAAATCAATCAACTGGTTCTTATAATTAAGATCGGAGGTAGTATTAAAAACAGGAGGTAGCAGTTTTTTGGATAATAAATGACTACTATATATAGACAAGAAAATGACGTTGGTAAAAAAAAAAAAACAGAGAGAGAGAATGACGTACACTATTACTAAAAACATGTGACGCCCCGATGACAAACAAGCATTAAAAAAAGCATATCTCAATTCCTCCAATAGGTCTTTGACTTTGACGATAATTTAATTAATCAATAGTTGCATAGTATAGCACGAATATGTAATGTTATAAACATAAACAACTTTCTTAAAAGAAAAATTATTCGGGAAGGGAATCTTGATGGGTCGCATCTTCCATTTGAGATTCGCGTGTATGTTCCCTTAACTTATCCCAAAATGGGGACAAAATTAAAATTTAAAGGGGAAGCAAAGAAATGAACACATTTGAAACGTGACCCAAAAAGTTGGGTGAGGAGGAAAGGCTCGTGTGATAATGCCAGGTGGCAAAGGCTGTCGTGTGACGTGGCGCAGTTTGGTGATTACGCGGCCCTACCAGCTGCCAAAGCGAATTGGTATTACTGTGTGCTGCTCTCACCTGAACGGACCTAAAGTGCTCTCAGCTCAGTAGCATCACTGCATCAGGTGAGGTTATGTGGGGCCCATGCGTCTGTCATCCCTGGTCCCGCGGAATCTTCTTGCCACTTTCCAAACACTCACTTCACGCTGTTCTTCACTTCTGCTGAACAATTCCGCACAAGTTTCTTCATCCACACCCCACTGACAGCTAATTTCATTTTGGAAGTAGTTCTTTTTAATAGTATTATCTAGGTGGACTTTCGAATGATCGCAAACAAATAGGGAATAACTAAGGACTTATCAGAAATGGCAACTGAAATTGCAATTTTTAATTGTAATTTATTATATACAAAATACTACTCTGCTCTTGTTTATAGGGTAAGGAGAAAAGATATTTTTTGATCATACTAAGAAATTTTTTTTGTATAAATGTACAATTTCACCCTTTATTTATTATTATGTTGATTTTATTTATATGAGGTATAATGTATATCAAATAGGGATAAAGTTAGAAAATTATCAAATTTTAAATAAAATTTGATAAAGTTTAAAGTTTTTCTTAGTTTATATAAAACATATTGGAAGTGACTTATAAATAGAACTATGTGAGTAAGTATGTGATAGTATAAGTTTTATCTTAATTTACATGAACATGTTTATGATAAGTAGCTTCAAACAAGCATTAAATCCTTAGTCTCAAAATATAATGCATATATTTTTTAATATTTATCTATGTTTATAATACATGGTTCGTAATTTTATAATATTTAAAAAACATTTTAAAATACTCCTGTTTAAAGGACAGATTTGAAAGGAACAGAAAATTGTTTGAACACAAGCAAAACTTCTTGATCTGCGTAGTTTTGACAAAGTTAGTTTGAATTAGGGGTGTTCAAGGCCGGCCCGTCCCGGTCGGCCCGTTCCGGTCCCGGTCTTATTGGGACGGGACGGATCCGTCCCGAAATTTTTCGGGACGGGACAAACCGGGACGGGACAAAAAGGAACCGGGACGGGACGGGACACGGGACGGGGTCGTCCCGTCCCAGTCCCGTCCCGTTCCTTTTTTAAAAAAAAAAATTAATTTTTTTAATTTTTTATATAATATCATTTTTTTCATATTTTTTTAAGATTTGAGACTATTGTATGGAACTATGGATATATTTATTTAGAGCTTTTATATTTGTTAATGATTTGAGATTATTGATGATTAGAATTTTTAGCAAGTTTTTATTGTGTTAAAAGCTTTTGTTTAGAGTTTTTAATAACTATTATATGTAATATTTTGAGCTTTTGTTTAAGAGTGCCCAAACAAATAAAAAAGATGTTTTTATAAGATTTAAGCTCAAAAAAATATAATTAAAAAAATTAGATTTTTTAAAAAAATTAAAAAAAATTAAAAAAAATTATTTCGGGACGTCCCGGTCCCGTCCCGGATCCGTCCCGTCCCGACCGGGACCGGGACAACCCCGGGACGGGCCGGGACACGGGACAGAAAATCTGTCCCGTTACTGTTCATCGGGACGGAACCGGGACGGGCCTGTCCCGATCCCGATCCGTCCCGTGAACACCCCTAGTTTGAATAAATCATTTTAACCATTTTAATGTTTAATTTCTGCATTATTCTATTGTTTAATACTCCTTCCATGTTCCGTGATTGTGCTGAATGTTGTAGTAGTTGGCAGGAAACAACATAATTATTCAACAAAATTAAAAATTGATAATTTACTGAAAAGAAGTAGAAATACCGAAACTATATTACGAGGGTAAACACTTTCTACAAGTACATTTTCACTCAGACTTTTATACATTTCAACTCTTTTTTTTTTTTTTTTTGCATATTCACTCAAACTATAGAGACATGTATTTGCACCCTTCTTCCAAAAAAAATTACTGGAAGTAATTACAGGGGACAAAATCCCTCTCCTTCCTCCGATTAAGCAAATTGTACAATTTTTTATTTGGATTTTTCTGGGAGAAAAATCACCAACTATGAGGACTCTGGCTATTCATGGTAGCAGAGTCCGAGGAATCTCCTCCAAAATCCATCATCATTTTCAACCAGTGTTGAAATTCAGGGTCTCCAAGTCCATCCAAGAATTCATTTTCCTTGCTACTCCCAATTCCCATAGTCCAAACATCGTCATAATAATTCCCAGTATTTGAGTTTCTATTTCCTTCCTCTGCTTGCCGCAACACGGACTCTGAGCGTTCTGCTTCCAAATGCTGCTCTGTTTGGGAATGCGAATCACTCAGTGAGTTATCGGGAAACGGGAAATTGAGCTTCGCTCGCGGCCCGCGAAATTCAATGGCCGCATTATCGTATGCGCGTGCGGCTTCCTCTGCGGTATTGAACGTCCCCAACCAAACCCGGGTCGCCCTTCTCGGGTCTCGGATCTCGGCTGCCCATTTTCCCCAGGGCCTCTGTCGCACTCCTCTGTACTTCTTCTTCTTCGACGACGACGTCGCCGCCTTCTTTTTCGCTCCACTTTTCTTTTTCTCCTCGGGAAAAAATTTGCAACCTAAGCACCCTTCGATTTTGCATTCTCCGCAAGTCTCGACAACGCTCATGGTCGGAACAATTCCGATTGGGGAGGAGGCGGTGGCGGATACTGCACCGGAGTACTCAAAGGTAGGAGGAAATCGAATTTCTTGGATGACATCGCCGGAGGTGGTGGCCGTGATAGTGCCGGTGGAACCGACGACGACATTGGTGAGTGCCTCAACGATGACGGAGTGTTCGTGGTCGTTGTAGAAGAAGTTAGGCGGCGGATGAGTGGAGGTGGACGCCATCGGAGTTCCGGTGAGCTTCGATCGATTGGAGAAAGACATGTTTTGAAGAGTCTGAGTCGATTCGAGGTAAGAGTCCGATTGGTGAGTGTTTTGGAGCTGGATATGGTGTTTGGCGCGTTTTGGAGGTGAGAGCGAAGGTGGAGTTTGTTTATATAGGGTTTGGGGAGTGACGTGGCTGGGAGATGCCAGCTGGGCACATATGGCCACGCAATTCGCACACGGTTTTGAAGGGGATTAATTTTAATCACGTGCCCTTATTTCCAAGTGCAAGTGGACTCATCTGTTCCAGAATAGTAGTCTCTAATTGTTTTTTTGGACAGAGATTTATATAGTGCTTTTACTTATTTTAAGGTAATCATATTAAAAATTAGAATCCTTTTTCACATTTAATTCTTTTGACTGAGGATAAAAAGTGGTTGTTATTATTATTAAAAGAAAAGTGGCTTCGGTAATCATAAAAATGATAAGAACCAAAACGTAGGCCATCTTGATGTAGATAGTTCAGATTTATTTTTTCAATTTTAATTTTAAAAAAATTATTTTAATTTGTTTATCAAATCTAAAATAAAATTAATTTTTTAATTGTCCATTTTTCAAAATATAATATTTTAATTTAACAACTAGCAATTAAAAATTTTAAATGTGAACTATTAAAATCAACTATATTCTAAAAACTTATAGCACCTTATTTGTTTGAAAATGAGTGGGGTATGGCATTACTGGATATGAATATATTCAATTAATAAGATTTGAATAATATATTGATTCAATTTGAATATATTGAATTGAATTAAATGGGAAACATTATAAATAAATGAAATTTCAATTGGAGACTCAAATGGAAAAATTAATAATTTATTTTGAATTTGAATAATATCTTAGTTGAGATTTAAATATATTGAATTAAATGTGAAGCATCATAATTAAATAGTATATCAATTGAAGGCTTAAATAGAGAAATAAATAATTAATTTGAAATTTTATCTATTCCTCCTAAATTCCGCATCTCTAATTCAAATTCCATTTGAATGAACACAAAAAAATCACACTTCTATAATAAGTAACTCTTGATCTACAGTAAATAATACAATTTATTAGAATTTTAAATTTAATCAAATATATTGATCCATGCATTCATGAGGGAAAATTTTCTAGTTATATCTAAACAGTGTAAAGCTTATTATACCATGAGCACTGTAACTAGTTTTCATTTTGAAAAAAAGGTGTTGCCAGCTTAACATATTCTATGTGATTTCTTAATCAAATAATATTATATACGCCATTAATCAAATATTATTATATATATTTTTCCGGAGTAAAAGGAGGAAAATGTTTAAAATGTAAGAAATTGAAATGAGTAATTTAATCGTGTTTGAATTTGAACTGAAACGAACATTCTATATGGTATTCTTAAACTTTGACCCGTTGAGAAATGAGGAGTCTGACAGATTCAAAAGAAGGGAGAGAGCGCGTAGAGTTTGTGTTCGCGCGCGTCATTGATGATGATCCCAGAAGGGGAGGGAAAGGGAAAGGGAAAGGGAAAGGAAGGGAAAGGAAAGTGGGAGGCACGACCCCAAACCAAACACGTCATCAAACTTATTTTGGGAAGCGGCGCATCGTCCATTCGTTTGCTTGTGTCTTTTTATTGGGCGGACCACAGGATTTTCAAGCTCCGGAAGACCGAAGCAGCGAAGTACTATGAATTCATTTTGACTTTGACCAAATCAAGACCAAGTGTCTTTACTTTACCTTAACTCCCGACTCACGGAGTCATTTATTTCAGGGCAGTGCATTTGCCATTTGGGAACTGAAGTCGCTGTATCTACTCTTGTGTCCAAATGTGGTACAACTACAGAAAAAGTACAATGCCTTCATAAAGGATCACATTTAAATTGACCTTTGATACTTACAATTGTCGGTGCTTCTTTAGGGTTGGTCATCATAAATAAATTCACATAAGCGCCTCTCTGGTATCACGATCTGAGCATGGAAAAATAACTAAATAGATATGACTGTTATTAAATTAAAAAAAAGAGTAAAAATATGAATATACAAAATATAATAATTTTAAATTATTATAATAGGAAGAAGTTATATTTAGTGTATAAAATATATTTAAATTAGAAATTATAGTAATGTGAAAATTTTTGAACCAAATAATATCACATAATTAATTGGATGATATACTCTACACAATTTATGTAAATATAAAATTAAAAATAAAAAATTATTTTTACTTAAGAGAATATTAAAGATAAATAACTAAAAACTGATTGGAAAGCATAAGGAATATACAGAGAAAGAAGCATAAGAATAATATAAACATAAGAGTAAAAATATCTTTTAATTTCAAAAAGCTGCTTTCATATAGGTTATAAATAAGTTTTTTATGCTTTTACAATCATGTTTAAAAAAGTAGCTTTTAACCTATCAGTTAGATTAGCTAAAAGCTGTTACAAATAACTCTTAAATTTTTTTTTGGACCAGAGGCTGAAGAGAGAACCACCTAACACGGGTGGTACCCAAACAGCCCGAATGTCCTACTTTATACACCTACATACTCACACACCCATCCGATGTGGGGCTTGAGAACACCCACAAGGGACCCCCCAGCACGTACTACATGCACCCACTCTCGGTTCTTCCTGGGCTAGCTCGCACACTTGGCTTCTTTTTTTGGACCAGAGGTTGAAGGGAAAACCACCTAATGCGGGTGGTACCCAAACAGCACGAATGTTTTACTTTATACACCTACACACTCACACACCCATCCGACGTGGGGCTAATAACTCCTAAATTTGTAAATTTACTTATCATATCTATAACCTCCTTACTTCCTGCTCAAACGCCCCACCAAACAGGCTTGTGCTCTGTTTGGATTAACTTTGACCCAGACTTATAAACTAAAAGTTGCTTTTAATCTTGCGAATTTTGAGAAGCTATTCTTGGCGCCTGTCTTATTGTGCTTAAATTATTGTGTCATATTCTCTCTCTTCTCCCTCAGTTCGTCTCCACATGCTTCTCCTTTTCTCTCTGATGCACCACGCATCAAGTCCGTCCCCTCACACGCGCACACACACAAGTATGTGCCCTTTTAGCATAGTTTTTTTATAATATTTTTATTTTTTTAAAATTATTTTTCATTTTATATTTATATAAATTGTACACAGTATATCATATAATTAATTATGTAATATTATTTGATTTAAAAAGTTTCACAATACTATAATTTCTAATTTAAATATATTTTATTCATTAAATAAAACTTCTTTCTATTAATAAATGAAAATTATTATATTATGTACACTTGACATTTTTTTCATATTTTATTATTTAATAAAAGTCATACTTTTTTTTACTATTTTACAAGCTAAATTTACTTATTTAATAATAATCTGAACAACTTCTACTTACGTCATGCTTATTTATAAAAAAAACAATTCAAATATAAATCATATTATCCAATTTAACTTTTACTTAATGTAACTTTTTCAAAACCTAATAAAAAATAAATTACTTTTTCTACTGCTAATTCAAACAGAACCTAAGTTGATACAAAATTTCTCCCGTGTAGTTATCTTGCATATCGCAAATCACAATTAAAAAGGTACTTTTGAACGCTCTAATCACCATTCTAAACAAGCACTGAATTACCTTGCTTACACATATTACAAGAATATACTTTTGAATGGGTCCGCTTAACATGCTTCAGGTATATTACTCCCCCCCCCCCAAAATTCCTTTTTTGGAAGAAATAGTATTTTTAAATAGGATTAAAATATAAATTTGTCTCAACAGCTTTCACTTAGAAATCTTAGGCATCTGAAAGTTTTTTAAGATGCAAATTTATCCCAAAAGATTAAAATTATAGTATTGATGCCTCTTGCTATTAAAAAACTAATGTAAGCATTAAAATGTGTGAAAATTAGGTTAATAAAAACATTAGGTTTTTAAAGCCTGAAAAGGGGCTTGAAAATGGGTTAATTATGAGCCTGCTTTTCCTTTTAATTTCTCTGTTTTTTTTTTTTGGGTCTAGTTAAGTGTAGAATGCTGAAAGCTATGTGCACTTTTTCTATCTACGATATTTTAAGCTTTTTTTAATAATTTATAATTGGATCTTAGTATTCTTTATTCTTATAAGTTGTAAATTTTGAAATTGGACGCATAAATTTAAGAGGATGACTTATAAATATAAGGAGTTGAATTGTAAATCAATACGTAAAATTTGAAGAAATAATTAGCAAGCAAACTTGCTAGTAAATTTAAGATATTTATTTGTGAATTTAAAAATTGACTGGTAAATATGAGAGGTTTACTTGCAAATCTAACAGAATTTGACTGATAAATATTAAAATATTGACATAAAGAAGTTGTTTTCCTTCATCGGGCGGTTGATCAGTCAATGTTGATTAACAGTGGGCATTGGCCGGAATCAATGTGTAAGGTGGGTCAAATGGCATATGTATAATTTGTTCACCCGGCTTGTCGGAAGTGCACAGCTCATGAAACAGTAAAGTGCTAAGAAAGTATTTTTCTCATGGGAATTAATACTAGAACCACAGTCAAATGAAAGATCTCACGTTTTCAACTAAGCTGAGTAAATTCAAAGCATGATGATGGGGTTTAAAAGCCTAAAACACAGCTGTAAAAAGAGTATGAAGGCTTAGTTGGAAGTGGGCTAATGCAGCCCACCACGCTTAGCCCGCGGCCTACAGTGGGTCAACATGTTTTAGCTGGCATAACCCCCCGAATTCTATTTTTTACATTAAATAATGCCAACTTTCAATTGCGTCTTCACCTTGTCTTCCCAACTTCCTCACCGGGAAAGTCCACTTCGTTGTATTCCCTTTTAACCCACAAATACTGTGATGAATTGTCCTTTTCATTTATTTACCGTAATGCATACAGTTTGAGATATTATGTATAAATTCATATTATCATCACTTCAGAGTAATTATCGCACCCAGACGGCAATTAAGGCACGTTCCTGCAAAAGTTACAGCTCCAATGGACATGCCGAGGAAGTAGAATAACGGCAAAAATTTGTTTCCTCACTTTTTTCTTCCTTAATATTCTTTTGTTGCTATTTATCATTCAACATTTCAACCTCCAACTAATCTAAGCACGTTTGTTTGAAAGAAAACAATTATACAGGAAGCACTAATTTATACAGCAAAAAATGGAAGAAGCAGAATGTGCTGGATGGTCTTCCTACCTCCTTTTACCCAGTAACCAATGAAAAATTGAAACTAAATTTTCAGCCCTCTTCAAATGGCTGTACTGACCAACCCGTATCCAGGAAATCTACCAACATGTCAAAAGCAGCATCTGCAGAGCTAACATCAGCGATAGCAAAATAAACTCTCAAAGATTGTCAGACAAAAATCTCCATCTAATCATCATTCTCTGAATCTGCACCCAAAAAGATTTAAAAAAAAAAGACCGATTTCTTCAGCAAAATGAAAGACGATCAGAAGACAACAAGTGATTGAATCAAATCAGCTTATATCATTAACTTCTCATTGAATAAACACAAAACATGAGGGGCATACGGGATAGGAATTTTAGAATGCTTCCTTAAAACCCTCCCCTTGATCTCGTTCAGCTCTCAAGATTACATTTTCTTCCCTCACATCAGAGCCATTTCATTATATAAAGGCAAGAGGCTATTAGCATTCTCAAAATGACGGGGAACCATGCCCCATTCCATTAGTTTTTACATTTTAGACTCCCAGCAGCAGGCAAGCTGTTCTACCCCTTTACCCTTTTAATTTCTGAAAACACCTACTGTGGCCAGTGGCCTGTTTTAAGCCAGCGCATATGATGTCAAAATGCAGCCTATAAGACGATGCTCAATATATAATTTGAAATCCACAGAAAAACCACAGCATTCAAAAGCATACACACTACGGCTCACATTAGATTTCATGTAAAATATAGGTTTACATTCTACTCCCTCTGTCTCTTAATTATAAAACACTGAATTCTAGTTTATATGTAAAAATTTGTTTTTTCTTTATAGTTCTACCCTCAATTAAATGTCATTACTGGAAAGTGCATCTTTATTGAGAAAAATATAATTTTGATCCTATATAAGGGGAATTCTAGAAAAAGTTTGGGAAACTCACTACTAGGTCCCAAAGAATATGATTACTCAAAATCCTAATAACAAGTGAGCAGCCTAGACCTCATTGTCATTTTTTGCATTGGAACTTGTCCTTAATTTTTAGATTTGTTGTGTCCCTAATTACAAGTCTTATCACAAGGTTTTAGATGTAATTAAAACTTGTAGGGACTATCACTATATGTCCTCAGGGAGTAGTTTAGTTAAAGGCACCCCAGAATTAAGAGGCGCAGTTATCATTAACCAACCATGAAGATTTGCAGATTGGGCTTTTGAATCTCTCCACATTTGCCAAAACTTGTATACTTCTGAATGTGACAAAAGTTTATCTTTATTATCTCCGCAATTGAGAGAAGGAAGACAACAATAAAAATTAACATCCCGACCATAGATTAATTTCTTAAGCTAAAAACACGGATATATTGAATCTGAATTAAAGAAATTGATTCACCTGATCTTATATCCTCACCGACTTTTCCTCTATTTTTCAGTTGCTTACAGATCATCGCACATATGAGAATCCACCAGTATACATGGAACACGAGCAGCATTATGAGCAATGTATTAAAGAGATAGTACAGAAACTTGGGATAGTCCTCTGCTAGGTTTAAGCAATCGCGAATCTTATAGCTGAAAATAAAGTGAAGTGCAGAGATGATTAGAAGTGCAGCCAAGACAAAACAAAGTACAATCAATTTACTAAAACTGAAAATATACCTTGATGCTCTAATAACCCAAAATGGATAGAAAATTAGCCGAAGCATCAGCCATGAAAAGGCAAAGAATCCAAAGAACACACTTGCAAAAAATTCTCTCCCGGAGTACTTGAAAACCTTTGCAGCTTCCATGAATACGTCGCTTGCATCATGAAGGGCAAGGACTATAGAGCCAATCCTGAAAAAACTGTAAAAGCAGCACCTTACAATTATTTTTGATATTTTTGCTTATCTAAATCTGTTTGCCCATGATGCAAGACCAAGAAAAGACTAAAAAGAAAAATGAAAAAGAGCAGAAAGAAGACAATGCTTTGCATAAAATGAGATAATGTTTCCACCAAGACCAAAATGCTTGGGTATTGATGATGGTAAATTTATTATACCAATCAATTACAAGCTTAACGTTATACACATCCGGTGGTCACATAATACCTCCACCTGGATTAAAAAGTTGCAAAAACAAGAGGCATAGGCTTCAGTATTACATTTCTGCTCTGGTTACGTGGCTTGAATAAACAGATGCGTAGCAACTTTGCAATACAATCAAACATAACCCTCCATGTGACATGAATGAACATACGCATGAAAGGATCTGTTAGTACAATTAAGAAAAACAACATAACAAATGAAAATAAAAAAACTACAATGGTAGCTGTAGGAAGAAATTACTATCAATTTTAAATAACCTACAATTAAGCATCCCATCTTTCAGATGCAAGACCCCAATTGCGGGGACTGTGCTATATGTTATAAACAACTTCTAGAGCTGCCTTGAGTTGTGCCACATGAAAATCAACAATAAGCATGCAACATAAACAACCACGATGAATCATCCAAGCATATGCACAAGTACATGTAAAGAACTAAGTTCCATGTAATAATGAATCCTTCAAATGCAAAAAAAACTAATTACCTTGTCACATATGATGTTCCAATCAAGATAACAGTAATAATATGATGAGACATCATCACTGAAAAATCCTTCCTTCGAGTCTCCCACCTCAGAAGAGCAGCAATGCTGTAGAGGTAGAACCCACATTGGCACATATAGAAAATCTTAAGTGGATTCCTGAAATGAGAAATGGAACAGAACGCATATGATAATTAAAAAGCTATCCAATGGTGAGTGCAAAGCACAACTATGAAGTTGATCATCTTTTAAAATCAATACCGACCAGTGACATTCAATCAGAAGAAAGAAGGAATTTTTTATTGAAGCTCACTGGTTGGTATTAAGCTGCGGCCAGTGAACCGCACAAAATAACCAGATGCATGTTTATTTAAGGAAATGAGCCACATGTCTGCGTACTGTTTTGACTACTCTTCAAATATCAGACTAGTTATGTACCGATATGCAACCATATCAAAATAACTATATGTCGGACCTGTAAAATTTTCAAACCAAAATCAGAATAACACCAAATCCTCACGTTCCTATAACTCCCATAAACATCAACTCATCCCCACGGATCTACCACCTAAGTTGTCTGCTTTTTAATCTAAGTTTTCATACTATGCATTGTGTGACAGCAGCATTGAAAATTCAGTACAGAATAGACAAGATAACATGCACTAAAAGTTCTTGTAGATCAAGAAAATTAATAATGAAAGTGAAAAACAATAGTGAGGTTTGCATATGAAAGTGAAAAATTAATCTCTTTTGGATATGGAATAAAATTCATTGGGAGGACGGATGTCTGTTCAACAAGCTAGACTATAATTACTTACTTCAACTCTTGATTTGGCCAGCTATCGAAGTATAATTTTATATCTCTGAACCAGGGCTCTAGATAATTAATATTAAGAACATAAAATTCCACGGTGGCATAATAGGTTAGCTTCCACATTGATTCGGAGCATTTTACAATCTTTGATTCTGTTGCCTTATTCATCCTTAAACGCCCACGACCCTTGGTCAACAACTTGATGGCCAACCACTGTAAGCAACAAAACAACAAACTAAGGAATCAAAAGGAGTTTGAATAAACTTATATGGTTACAATATATTATAATATACAACAATAGAAGAAAAATGAAAATTGCTTGCATAAATGATTGTGCCACAGGACGCCAAGACAGTCCATACACACAACACGAAAGAAAGAAGTATTCAGAAGATTCCCAAGGTGCTGTAAATTTTGCTAAAACATAATGTTGGCTTGACAAGAAAACACGTTAGAAAAGAAATCCATTTGTTTAAGCCTTGTCCCTATAAAGACAGATGGATACTTCCTTTACACTGGAATATTTTCAGCTCACATTACCTTCATCCAAATATTGTGGATTGGAAATATTCTGCTTTAGTCCTTTTACCAACAACTGTGCATCTTTTCTTTTTACTTCCTATGACGTATTACAAAGACAAGAAACTAAAGCCCACCAACCAAATAAATTGCATCTGTTACTCAAGCTGACAGAAGATGAAAATGTTAAACGACCAAAGCATTGACATTCTTGGAAAGAAAAGGGGTCAAACAGGAAATATTAGAGATAGAAATAGAGAGAGGGTTTGGGAGGGGGGGAGAGAAGCAAAAGGAGAGATCCGCTAATTCACCAATCTCGTTATTGGAAACTGGCAACTCAAAAGAGAGAGGAACAATGAAATAATTAAGTATTCGTAGGCAATCCAAAGAACAGAACAAGTATACTATTAGCAACTGCATTTTCCCCTAAACTTGACAATGCTTGGCTACAATACAGACTGATGGTGCATCTATATTATCCTGGAACAATTGTGATCAGCTTCCAATACGATTTCCATCCGCAATGTCTGTCTTTTTTGTTGTCTTTTATGATACTAACATGTCGCTCTGCCTTGGAATTTACATAAAGAGTTGATATTCTTCTATATGACAAAAAACATCTGGCATTACTGCGCCAATCTGGATAAGATGATAATTTCTGGAGTCCAACGTATTTTAATGAAAAAAGATGTCCACTATAACTCTGTAAAAATTCGATCTTCTTTAATGGTATAAAATAAAGTAGCGCAGCAAAGTGTGGCCCAAAGTTTACAGATGTAACAGTCATTCACAGCTTTCAGACCTTTATACGGCTCACGCCAAGCTCTCACTGGCTAACAGTAACGAAGCAGCTGAAAAAATACAGAAATAACTGAAAAACTTAACATGAGAATAATGACTCGCTATTTAGACACGTCAGGTTGACAGGTCCACTGAAGATCCTTAAACCGCCAGCTTCATTCGATTAAACTCCAAGAAACTACGACTCTGTCTTGAAGCAATTGAATGTAGAAAAAGGAAAGGAATAAAAAAATGCAAGAAGAAGAAGAAGAGCCAAGATTCTCGATGGAAAACGCAAGAAGCAAAATATGATCCACCACATTAAGATATTTAAAAAGAAAATAGCCATGCGGAATTCAAAATGCTCAAAATACGGAGAGAAGCAAGAGCGGAGCTGTTCAGTCAAGCGAAGAAGCTAGTTCCAAGAATCCAATAGAAGCTCGGGACATCGAAAACGAAAGAATCTTACTCTGAAGATGTATCTGTCGAGAAAGACTCTCGCCACAACGAAGCCGATGGCAAAATAGATCGCGATGTGAAAATGCCAGGCGCTTGGTCTACCATTGTCAGTCGAAATGGAATCCATACGATGCTGGAGCTGGAACCGCAGCTAGAGGAAGACGACTCCAATCGGAAATTGAACTAATGGCGAAGATCAGCCATTGAAACGAAGGAATCTCATGGAATCGACTTTAGAGAGATCTAATTTGCCCTAATTCACAGAGAGAGAAGGATTTGCGACGCTGGTAACAGAATGCGGAGAGAGAAAAAGAAAAGAGGGAAAGAAAGGAGGGAAAGAGAGAAAGAGAAAGTGCGAGCGAAGGAGGTTGCAACGGAAATGGTGAGGGTTGGGGTTAATGATCTTCTGTGCTTTATTTATTGCCCCGAATATCTTTGAATCTCAAACTCACTTCGAGCGGCCGATATGTGGGTCCCGCTTTTATTCTTACACGTGGCAATTACTTGCCCGTGGGCATAGCATCCCAGTTTGAACTTCTGATGTTTTTTCTGGCCCTGCTTCATGGTTTTGCTTCAGGATATCCATAAAAATTAGTTGATTTTTAATTTAATTTTAAATATAAATTTTTTATTTATTTTATTTTTTGTATTTGTTTATTCTTTAGGCTTTTAATATAAAACTTATTTAATTAATTTGATTAGATTAAAAAAGTTAATTAATTATAAAAAATAGTATGATATATTTTTTTATAAAACACTATAATCATCTTTCTTAATATCCTCCCTTCCTTCCTTGATTATGGTTGAGGAAGTATCCATAGGGATAGTTTAAAAATAATACTCCTCCGGTCCTAATTATAAGACCCAATTGACTTATTTGAGAAGATTAAGGAAGTAAGTTAAATTGGTTATTTATAATAAATAAGTGTTGTCATTCCTAAAATATCCTTGCTAATTAAGTATATTGGCTAAAACTATCATTATTAGAAGGATTATCTTGGAAAAAAATGCATAAATATAATAGACAAAATGGATTGGGGTCTTATAATTAGGACCAAATAAAAAGTCAAATAGGGTCTTATAATAAGGACCGGAGGAGTAATAAATATGATAAATAGGTCTTATATTTATGACTAAAATTAACTTAATAATTATGTCATATATTAAGTACTGGAGGAGTATATTTTTTTTAAATAGTCCTTATAATAGTTACACTTGTCAAATGGTAATTCTAGCTAATACACATAATTAGCAAGGATATTATAAGAAAGACAACACATATTTATTATAAATAAACACCTATTTATTACAAATAACTAACTTAACAATTTTTTTTAATTTATTCAAATTAGTCACTGGTAATATTTATATAAACCAATTATGATCAGACATCTCACATCTAGTGGTTTTATTAGTAATAATAATAATATTATGTGATTAGACAATCGTTAAAGGAGCATTTTAAAACTACAGATATAACGACAACTCGAGAAGTCTCATTGGAGGTATTACTCTCTTGCTTGAAAGTTCATTACGAAAAATATATTTTTCTCAGTTGAATGAGATTAAATTAACTACTACCTCCGGTCCTAATTATAAAAACGAGTTGACTAATTTGAGAAAACTGAGGAAGTAAGTTGAGTTAGTTATTTGTTCTAAATAGGTGTTGTCTTTTCTAAAATATCCTTGCTAATCAAGTGTATTGACTAAAACTCTTATTATTAGAAAGATTACTTTGAAAAAAACATATAAATATGAGAGACAAAGTAGATCATGGTCTTATATTTAGGATCAAAATAAAAGTCAAATATGGTCTTATATTAAGGACTGGAGGTAGTATAATTTACATTCAGCCATAATTTCTCTATATCTTAGTTTCCAGAGAGGTTAAATTTTAGGAAAAATTAGAGATAAATCCCTATTGAAAATTTAATTAACAAATGGAACCTAAGGATTTTGTGTAAGCTAACTTCTTTTATATGCATCTTGTCTTTCCCTGTGTGCAATGATCTTCTTTTGTATGATGTACAACTCAATTTCCCTTATGCAAATAAAATTATCTTATGTGTAAGTCATCTTTTTTATGTGCAAACTAATTCCCTATATCCAAATTGTTAAGAGAGACTCTATAAATAGGGTCTTTGTGCATGGATTAAAGGTGTGAGATAATGTAATCTTCACCATGAAAGGAGAAGGTTAACTTGAGTCTCCCACCTCAAAAATCCTCATAGGTTAGGGGGTTTGTTTATCACTCTTGTGTAATGGATGATTAGTGTTAACCTAAGTGGCTTACAATGATTGTACGAGCATGTGAACTGTTATGAATAATACATCTGATTTATGTCTTTCTTCTCCTTATTTCTCTCAAATCTCTAAAGTTAATACAAATAATGTTTTGTGTAAACTATCTTTCTTTATGTAATTAATCAAACTCTATTTGTTAATTAAATTTTTAACGAGAGATTTATTCTTATTTTTTTCTAAATTTTATTGAATAGGTGACGAAAATGATGGAGGTGAGTTGCGAAGAAGAAAGAGGAAGGAAAAGGCATGTGATGGAACTGTGTAGAGTGGCGTGTAAGTTGAGTTGAGTTGACATTATAGCTGATCATGCTTGGAGTCACGGTACAACATGCTCATGAACTTTCCCACTTTATTACACTATTTTTTCACTGTATAATTTTTTTGATTGATTTGCTTGATTGATTTGATATATATATGTATATATATTTACGGCAGTGCTTTGTTTTTTTTTTTGGCCTGACTGCAATGCTTTGTTTTTCTTGCCAAGAAAATAAAAGGAAACATACTTGTTGATAATCAAAACATTCTTAAAAAAATTTGATAATAATTAATTAAAAAAATAACTTATAAATAGGATAAATATATTATTCAGTGTTTTTTATTTAACACATGAAATATGAATAGAGTACAATTTATGTTGAAAATTTTGCTGGGTAGAATGTTAATGTAGAATTTTGTTGAAGATTAACATTGAATGAAAACTTGCAAGTGATGAAAAATTTTGAAAATTAAAATTAAAAGTGTGAATAGTAAAAATTGAAAAGTTTAGTGGGAACTGATATTTTTTTTATTTACTGATAATATTAATGGATGTCTGGTTAGCCATGAAGCGTCGTTTTCTGTTTTTTCCGGTACATGTATTAATTGAGAGACAATGATAAGGGCACAATAACTGCAGAATCTCTTTACCAAACACAAAGGCGGTGGGAGCAAGGAACCTGCACGGCGCGCACACAATCAAGGCCACTGCATGCTTCCTTTTATACCTCTTTTTATGGTAACAAGCCAAAACTCAAATATTTTATTAAATATATTTTTAGAAAAAATATTTTATCAAAGTCTCGGCCCCAAAAAAAATATTTTATCAAAGAACAATACTTACACCAAGATTCTTATATCAATTTTGTCAAGTTCTTCAATTACATATAGTTATGTGTTCTTTTTTTAAATATTATCATTTAACATTTAATATAATTAAACCCACATAAAAAAATAGGAAAAAATAATTATGTGTAATTAAAAAATTTGACATAATAAATATAATGAGTTTTCTTTATCAAACACGACTGTTGTAATTAAGTGTAATATTCCAAGGAGCCTTAACAAGCAAAATAATGTAATCTCTCTATGTCTTAAATATAAAAATTTTAATAAATTAATTATTTAAAAAAATGTGGTGATTTTCTTGAATTATCTCTTTTAATTATCTGTTTTCTAAACTATGCTTGTTGAATAATCAATGGTGGTAGTTTAGGAAAAAAAATAAATAATAAAAAAAAATTAGAGTTTTATAATTAAGATCAAAATAAACTTTTCAACCAATTTGGACATTTAAGTCTCATTTGGTAAGAAGCATTAAAAATAGAGAGTAAAGATTACAATTAAGATTAAAAAAATCTATAAAAAAAGTGTTTAGTATGAAAGATTGCTTATTATATAAAATTAAATAAACTCACGCGGGTGGGATTAAAAATACTAGGAAGAGATGTGTTATTCTCCAATCCCATTTTTATGGGTTTGTCAAATCCCATCTAATTACCAATTACTCATACTAAATACTCCTCCGGTCCTAATTATAAGACCCAATTGACTTATTTGAGGAGATTAAGGAAGTAAGTTAAGTTGGTTATTTATAATAAATAAGTGTTGTTATTCCTAAAATATCCTTGCTAATTAAGTATATTGGCTAAAACTATCATTATTAGAAGGATTATCTTGGAAAAAAATGCATAAATATAAGAAAGAAAATGGATTGGGTCTTATAATTAGGACCAAATAAAAAGTCAAATTGGGTCTTATAATAAGGACCGGAAGAGTACTATTTTAATGGTTTTTTCTAATCTTAAACCCAATTCTTACATCTCATTCTCAAAATTTCGTATCACACACGGGAACTTAGAATAACAGGGGTAATATATAAATTTCTTCATGACATCTCAAGTTTTACCCAAGGAGAATGGATTATTATTCTTTATGTTTTTTCCCTTGAAGGTGGAAGAACTATTCAACATTAGATTTGGAAAGTTCCTCATTATTCCCATTGCTTTTTGCTTGTTTGACTTTTTAAACTTCCAGACAAAAATTAAACTTATTGACCAAAGCACAAACGCATGCATTCGTATGCTATTCAAATTTTTTTTTTTTGTGGAAAAAAGAATATATCTCCATAAATTTCAACTTAGCTTTCCAGCAAGCTTTCACAATATCATGCAATGAACTTCAATTGATTATTTGATGCCAACCAAGCATGAGGAAATTGGAATCAATAACTGTTGTCTTTACTTAGTGTTTAAATTCTTTGAAAAATAAATTACACGAGAGAAAATAAATAGAGGAAATTTCTGGGGCGAGGTTAAGGTTAAGTTTTGTGAGGCATTTTCTTTCATAGATCATTCCAAACTAACATGGGCCATGGCCCATTAATTTTCTTTGGGTATATGAATACGAGACATATTTTATGTGCCCAAACAGATCCCGGGCAAAACATTGATGGATTTTCAAGGCCCATGGAAAATAAACTTCAGATTCAGGTGTAGCCAGCAAGACCAACGTGAGAATTGATTCTAGCACAAAAACTAGTCATTCACAGCAACAACATGACAAACAAATATTCAAATTTTTACTAAAAAAGATATTCACATTTAGTACTCGACAACATTTTGAATATGATTGCCTTCAATATGAGAATACTTGTACCTAGCAAAAAAAAAGGTTGTAACTACTAACTGGCAAGAAGAAGATTCCTACATTTGCATGAACTTGTACTACTTACGGTTCTAATTATAAGATCTCGTTTGTAATTTACAAATGAGGTTTTATAATTAGAATTGGAAA